TGAGACGGCGGCGACTGTGCGCAGCTGGCGGAAGAAGGCAGCGCAGCTCCGGCGGCGACAGCGTAGGCCAAGTCGAGCGACACCGCGCGCGCTGCGCATGCCACGTGTCCGGCCATCGTCACCGGAATGCTGCTGCGACGGCTCCAACGCTCCTTCTCCTCCGGCTACGTGGCGCTTCGACAGCGACTCGATGCTGTCCTTGCGCGCTTTCGTGTGGTCCCACTGTCATCCTGTTGTCGTGGGAAACAACATGGTGCGACACTTTATTTGGGCGGGAAAAGCACCCTGGACGCTGTTCCCCGCGTGCGGCTGGGCGTGTGTGTGTGCGTCTGTGTCTATGTGTGTGTGTGTCTGTGTGTGTGTGTCTCCCTCCACTCCTGTACGAATTTGTGGACAGTTCACGGACAGCGGGCAGAGATTCAAAATCCGGGAAAACGCGGCATCGCTCCACTTACAGTCCGATGTACGCCTCTCAAATTCGCGAGTTTGTCTGGCCGGTGGGGCATTAGGCAATATTTCACCCGTTGTCTTGCCAGGTTGGTCTGGCAGTGAACTTGGTTTCAGACTCAGCTCCGGGTTGAGTTGTGAGGACCCCGGCCTCGTACATGTGATTGTGGCAATATAAATGTTGTGTTTTTTCAACAAAAAAAAAAAAAAAAAAAAAAAAATTCGCGAGTTCACTTTCACTACCAGACGCACTGATACAACTCCAAGACAGGGTCCAGTTGATGTGGCTCAGTGGTTAGAGCACCGGTTGGAAATGTGCATTGTGGTATGAGGTTGCGGGTTCAAATCCGCAGCCTTGCGCATGGACACCGGCAGGTCGTTAGAATGACGCACGGCTGGACACACACCCCACCCCCTTGGGATGATGCAGGTTAGCTATTACAGACACTGCCACCCCCTTGGGATGATGCAGGTTAGCTATTACAGACACTGCCTGCGCACCACCCGCGGGTTGTTCATGGTGTTCTATGTTGGTTCTGGGTTTCACATGGGTTGCTTGGGGGTGTTGGTCCTGGGTGTTCTGTTGATCCCCCCAGTCTGGTATATCACACGTTCGTGCCATTTCCACTGGTCGTTCACATGGTAGGTCACGGGTTCGAGTTTGGTTCGGACCTTGGGGGGGTCCCTGTCCAGCTTACTACCCCGTTCTCTCTCCTCGATATACAGAGTATACGTAGCCTTCGGGCGTAACATAGAATTATATATCACCTATGGGCTATATATACACACATCGCCTTGGACATAACATAGAATTATATATCGCCTACGGGCTACATACACATATATATAGCCTTCGGACATAACATACAACTATACATCGCCTACGGGCTACATACACAAAGTTTCCA